CCTATTAACCTGTAGAAGAAACTCGCCATCTAACTTCTGACATACAGTAGTAAGGGAAAACTAATCAGGGAAAATTTGTTGAGGACATTCCACTGAGGAATGTTGTTTATCATCGACATCATCATGATAGTACGTCAGCTTTATTTCGAAAAGGCCTCTCGTCAGCAAGTGGTAAAAGCAGACGACCTGTTTTTACGTTGAAGGATAAAGCACTGGGCGATCATCCGACATAAACTTAGTTTTCCACAACCACCCGTCTTAAATCGAACTGCCCTTAATTATTTGGAACTGAATTATGTAGTTAGTGATGCAGTTATGAATTTCGTACAATGTAACGTACACGTACTGCGATGACACCGATAAAATGAGATAATAACCTACGTGGCTTCAATAGCTACGATGGAGCTTGATCAAGCTGCTTATTCCAGGATTTTTTCAGTGAAAACCGGTAGTTGTTACGCTCGTTTTTGATGCTAAGTCAGTCATCCAAACGACGGAACATGGCAAATCATTCGAAGTGCGATAACTTAGACTTATACAGCTACAAATAGCCTGTTAATGATACGCACAGAATAGCACATGTGTAAACTACGTGAAAAAGTCTACGCCCACGTAGATATCAAGCAGAAGCGAGAATTACACTAACTGCCTTCTGCTAACTAACTCATCACTATTTTTCTTCTACTTATCGGGACATTCCGGTCAAATGAAGAGTTTCACAATACAGAGCAACAAGATCTCTACACGAATAGGACAAGTTCTATGTTCCCCTTGCGGTATCGTTTCGGTGAGCAGCATGACCTGCTGGCGAGACCTGTACTCGCGCCTGCAAATATTAGTCTAAGCAAAACACGTGGTGGCTACTAACTCCAGCTACATGGATACCAGAATATTGCAATGGGAGGATCATGTATCGATCCGTTTTGATAAGTGAAGCTAGCTCCACTCCCCGTATAGTTCAACCTTGAGCCTATCTCTTAGAACATAGAACGGCTTTACCAAAACGTTTATTAATTGCCTACTAGCGAGGCCCTTCGGGCCGCTGATAGGAGTTCGAAAAAGGTATATTGAATTCGACCCATTGATAACTACTCGAATATTATGTTTGAGAGTAGTATTGCTTTTCCAACTTTGAATGATCATGCTTTGCATCGGGAAAAAGTTACCCAGCGTCAGATGCTAACAACTGGGCTTATGCTTTTACGGTAAGATCTACTCACTACAAAGGTGTAACGTGCTCAGACCGTTCGTTCGTCTTAGAGAAAGCCACTTGATATGGCGTCGGCGTCTCAATGTTACTATTTTACCGAAAATATCCCTGCGCCCCTGCATAGCGAACATTCGTGGATTTGTGGCAACCTAATTTAACGGTTGTTTCTAAATGTTTCAAATTTCCGTCCGGCATCGCTTCACTGGAGTTATTCCTCTTGCGATATTCTGTTACTTCGACGTTATTTTTACTCCCGAATTAATGCATCCTTGCGTCACCCGTCGTGTACGTACTACCGCATCGAATAATACTAATCAGCACTTTGTATTATAGATATTTGTATTTCTATAGCAAGCAACGCAATACGTCCAAACCACAATTGGCGCCTCTCGACACAGCCAAGTCCTTGCCCGCCCGCCCGCCCGCTCGTCTACAATATTGCACTTCTGTGCAACAGACGGTCGCTCATATAGCGAGATGTCGAACCTCCCGGTGCGGGGGCACTGCGCGGCTAAATGTGTCGTCGTACAAGCGAATAACCAGTTTTTTTTTCCAATTACCGGCCTACTAGTAATAGGTCCGATGAAGTGGTACTATAAAATATTTGCGCGCCAGCTCATGGCGTCGTATTCGTTGCCGTAATATATCTAGACGCACGGGTCCTCCACTGTCTACCCAGTCATACCGCGACGTTCCAAGGATGATTGACCAATCTGGCTACAGAACTACCCAGTCACGTGTAATGGCTCGCCTATTGAGTGCAGTGAAGGTGTGTCATGTGCGTCAATCAATAGTCTCTAATGGCGTTAGAAGTTGTCCAAACAATAGTTCAGTGCCAGAAACAAGCTACGGTTGTTTTGGCGGCGGCATTCAACGCTAGCATGGCTGAGATAATACATGGTTTTCGCATCCAAAGGTGGCCGCGAGAGAGATAAAGTTAGTGCAGAGGCAAAATAACAACCACGATTGTGCTGTTCACTGTTGTAACTGCACGATCACAGAGAATAAGTGAACGTACGTACAATCGCGTTGCCCGGCAGTCATTGTAGTCACATTTGGAACGAGTCAAAATCTCATCACAGAATAAAACGTGCACTATATTTTAAAAAAGTGTCCTTAAGTGAGCGACCAGCATCGCTTAAGAAGATAATATCAAACTAATGCCATAATTAAGAGTAACAATAGTAATCATAATAACAACAGTAAAACTAACACTTAACTCAGGAAAAACACTCCTACTTGAACGGTGGTAGGCGATACTGAACAACAATGTATCGGCTTGTCGTAACGCTGTTTCATTTCTTTTCTTTCATTACTCTATAAGAGTACGTTGCCTTCTCTAGTTCCTCACTGTTGATTCTGCTAAGCTGTCTCGGCTCTCTTCCTGCGCGAATCATCCTTTTGTGCCGCTGTGAGGGTACGGGACCAGCACAAATCTATTAAACGTTTCGAATCATCGATATACATTCGGTAATAGAGTTACGGACGAGATACTGGAAAACGCTGTCGGTGGCTGATAGCGGAACACACTGTTTGTCCGCTGCCAGCGTTACCGTTATGAATGATCCGGTGGCAGGCGCGACAAGGACACAAGATTGAATCCACCGGGATAACAGCATCTCGCTGCTTCTACGAATGATGGTCGCTTGTTTACTGCGCAATACGATAAGACTCGTCTCATTCAAACCTGTTGTTGATTTATGGCAAATAAACATTGGCGACTTCAAATCGGAGCTACTAGGATCATAGCAAACCATGTTGATTGCAGTAATGGAGATTTTTTACTCCACTCATAAACGTCAGCCTGTAGAATTTGACGGCAGGAGACAACTTCCTGTTCCATGTGCATATACCAGGGTGAAGCCAAATATATATTGCTCAAGTTATATGAACCGTGTCAATATTCATGATACATATGACGCCCAACAAACATGTTTGTCTACCGCTGACGTTACAATGTTATCGTTAAAATATAGCAATCGACCACCCTCTCTTCACGTGGTCGGCATTTCCTAGAATAGCTAGTCCAGCTTCGCTGGCCATGTCGTACGCGGGTTCTACTACTCAAGTCGGCTCTATGCCACCGTCTATAGGCGACAGGATTATGGGCCGGCTGGCTGTAGCCGAATTGGCCACGGACTCCCCGTAGGTCAGCCAAGTGACAAGCTTTCTGTGCTGTCTCTGTACAAATACAAATATTGGTCTCTGCTGCCTGAGACAACGTTACTGCAGATTTACATCAATACGGCAAAACTTAACCTTACATTGATGTCTACTGTTATACAATAGAGCGAAAGGTACGGATGGCTAGTAACAATCATTAACATAACAATATGCTGATCGACAACGCTGTAGGACTGCGCATGCTGGTAAAGCCTATTCGTTTCGGTGGCCTGTCACCAAGCAGCGAGTCAAATCAGAATGCCACGGGGCACAAGTTATTATATCATTGTAAAGAATTTAGCACTCGTCGCCACCTAGACTGCCAACCAATGGGCCTTTCACTCACTGTTACACACTGTAGTAGAGACTAATTACGGCTTTACGCAAATTACTGGCCAGACTAGGGCTTCCCATTACCAGGCGTATGTACAAAAAGCATTGATTGATCAAAAGCTGATTGAGACTATCCCGTCGATGTTGATGCTATTCTTGCTGATAATGATTAGGATGTCGCTCAATCATGGCTAGGGCATACGCCATTGACTTACGCCGGCGTTCGTTCTAGTATCCGTTGACTGTCTTGCGCAGATTATACTCGACCGAACATTGAACAAACATAACGTCGACTTAAGCGAAGTTAGTGGCTAAGTAAGTGTTCAGAGCAGCGCCCACCGTGTTTGCCCCTTGCTCGTCGACAATATGACTTTGTCTGAGTTATGCCGACGGTGGCCATGCGGTTTTACTACCTTGGCGTAATAGCGATAATGGGGTTGATAACCGGTAACGTAACAGTAACACACTGATGATTTGGGTGTGGAATCTATTATCGTTGGTCTTATCGATGTTGACCCTTATGCTATTATAGATCTCTACTTGACGAACGAGACAACCTGATCCTCCTCTACACCGCCTTTTACATTGAGGTCGAAAGCAGTCACATATGCCGATTTCTATGTAGCACCATACGGATTCCTACGTGGACGAGCTCGCGGGCAAGAAATAAATGTTTTCCTAACCGAGGCCCTTTCACACGATATTTGTTTGTGACCTTTGATGGATTCAGAATTCTATTATTAATATTCTTATCGCTTTTATCACTATAGTATAATTATAATTGCTGATATTCCCTTATTTTCCAATTTCTCGATACAGTTCTAGCTTGCTGCAGTGGTACTAAACAGACGGATCGAAGCACGGTAAGGAAGAGCTCGCTAATGATGAATCTACGAAGATTTTCTTTGTTAACAATATAACAAATCACGAAATATTTTCATCATAATTTTATATGAATATGTATTCCATAGTAGAAATGAACAGCTTCTTTGTTTTCTTTGTCCCTTGTTCGGGCATCATCACATTGGCAGTTAAAGGATTATTTAGTCTTGCTTTTGTGAGTGCTGGTTTTTTTGATATGATCGTAGGAGTCGCTTGGAAACGCAAAGCAGTCATACCGAGGTAGCTTCACTAGATAAATTCCCTACCAGAAATGATACAGTTCGGAACAGACGAAGCAAGACGGACTCCTTTTTCGTGCTCGAAAAGGGCGAGAGATGCGGTCAAGCTAGATCTTGCAAAAGCATACTGCTCACTTGAATAATATCCTAGATCGGTAAATCATTATACTTACCATTGAACGACATGAAATGTAACGGGAGGCTCTGGGCGGAATCGGCGAGAGGTGTAGTTTCGTGGGCGGATGTGGGAGTTTCAAGTGGGTGTGTCGTTGAGCCACCTCCCGTCGAACTTCCATTGGTCCCGCTCCCGCTTCCAACGACGAGTCCACTTAGGCTTCGTGCTCGCCGGCCAGCCGAGCTGCTCGTCGAGCTATCGAGAGACGCTCGTCGTCCGAGATCAGCCAAAATCGCCGCCAGACCTGCCGGACCTCCGACCGAGCTGCCATCGCGTGGCTGAGGCGACTGGGGCGATCGAGGAGCGCCTCCATGTCCCCCGGAGCCATCACTAGCTCCCGAGTGCTGATGCGATGAGGTCTGTTGCTGAACATGGTGGGGTTGCTGGTGAGAACCACTTCCATGGGAGCTATGGGACTCCCGCGACGGCGTGGCAGGTTCGGCTGCCACAGGCGGATCGGCACTTGTTGACGCTTTCGCCCCCATTAAGGACCACGTATCCGCGATGGCGAAGGTGACGGCGACGAGAAGGATGTTGGAAAGGCCCTGAAAATAGGCCGATGACAACGACTACGATCTCTTCAGTGCAACCTTCTCGATATCGTTTAGATATTTTTTAATAACAACCACAATAGGGACTACAGCTAGGCCCTGTTGTGATTCTTCCTGTGCTGCACTCTGCAGTTGTATCTGTTCAACCGATGCGGGGTGTCTTGACTTAAGAACACTCTAACAATACGGTAATAATAATAATAATAAAAGTCGATCTTGAAGCCTGAACACCAAATAACTAATTAACTATACTTGTACTTGATGAGCAGAATTCTCTCACTTTTACTTATTAGCCTCCTCGGAGGTTTCGGGGGGAGGGGGAGGGGGTGACTCGGGGGGTACTGGTGAGATGAGCTACAGCAGAAAGGAGAAAGAGGGATTTTGATGTTGTCAAAGTGCTCTTATCTTGTCATGGGGGGAGCACCCACCCCATTAATACAAGCAATTGTTGGCGATCTTTGATTCGCCACAATTTGAACTCCACAAGTGTTGTGACCCCGAGGTGTTTGGTCAGCTCTGCTATCATCGATTTCGCTATTTAGTTGCTTGGGCGACTTGAGGCTAAATACCTTCAATGAAATTGGGTGTTGACCGCAGCAAAGATTTGTATCTCCTTTTTCTTCCACCAGCAAATCCCGTTGGCATTGTGGTCATAGAGGTTTAACTGCTTTCTTCGACCTAACCTTTAATTACTTAGAGTTCAAGCTTACTATTTATTTTTTTTTTCGCGCAAGCGCAACTTTATTGTTTTTAGTTAATGCTGTACATGCCATTATTGTTTTGTAGTTGTTGTTGCGGCTATCTTCTATCGATAACATTTTTCAGTAACTAATATAATTTTATTAGTACTATTATTATTATTGATTGTAAATCTTTTTTCCAACGCACGTAACACAATCACGCTCTGTTTCGCCTTTAGCCTTCTGTATTTCTCCTTTTTTTTCGTGTTATTTCTGCAAATGAATCTCCAGCAGTGGACGGTCAGGAAGCTTTGAGCCGTTGTATTGGGGCTGTTTGAGAGATTTGTCGGCAGAACTTTTTCGGAGTGGGCAACGGAAAATCGTGTCGCTGAGCCAGCGAAATGGCCAAATGATTGATTGTGCAATCAATACAACTGCACTGATTAATGATGACGATACGGTGTTAGCAGAAGGCACACGTCTGCTGCTGGACACGCTGTTGATATTGAGTTAGGGAAATCGTCGAAAATGGGGTCGTTCGCCGCTGCGCTGGCAAGCTACCTTTCGACTGGTGACGGTCCGGATGTCGATCATTCTCCACAAAGAGAAAGTGCTTTTCTACGAAGCTCAGCCGCGACACGACCGCTAGAACAGGCGGAAGCGTCGGGTTTGCTACTATCCTTTCGTTGATGCCAGCGATTCGAACGGCGGTCGTTGGTCCCCTTTGTGATGACGCCTTGCGACAACAGTAGCTGACAGGTAAGATTACTATGCTTCGTCGAACGAATTTCAATAGCGTCGCCTTTTAACGTTTAACTGTAAGTACCAGTCTGTCTCCGTCTTGATTTGCAGTTGTATATGATTAACGATCATGCACGGACGACAACAATGAGATATATCAACCCTGCAATACACTCTTCAACATGGATTAGTCGCTAAAGACCGCCATGCGCGCAGACGCAGTTGTTTGTTAACATTGGCACTTGGCCCGGTATATTCTAGTGTATCTTGAGGTAACTTATAAAATAGATAGAAGCTGCATGCTGCAGATCCAACTTAGTCAACGATAAGCACATGGACGCCGATGTGTTTTTTACACGCAAAGACACTTAAGAAATCACAAAGCCCGCGCGTCGCCATAACCAGCATTCGACGTGAGTTTTTCGTCTCTAAGCTATAACGATTCTTCTTGGATTGAAAGAAGTGTAACCGTTAACTATTATGACCTGATACTCGTATAGTAGATAGCCGTTCTTGTGGTAGCTAGTTTGCTAACATAGTTATTGTTATTTTTACCGTCGGCACCCTGTTTTATCAGGATTAGGCTAAAATGGCTGCCACAGTTGCTTCACGTAGCTCGAATAGTGGAGGCTTGACTCCAATGTACAGCGTCGCTTGCTCTCATCCTTCTGCCTCGTTTTTATCCGCTCTGTTTCGATATTGAGTGCAAGCGACTCAATCGAATTGGTTGGCCTTGACCTTGGCCGTGGCCGTGTCGTCCCTTTACGTTATGTAGCACTCGCAATACAAAGTTTTCCGACGAATCATCGCAGATCGGTACTATAATAGACAACAAAACACCTATAGAGATTGATTCTTAAGCGAACGATTTTGATTGAAATTCGGAATTTTATTCTGAGGAAAAGCAAGGCACAAATAGAAACAGTACGTATAAAATGCCTCGCTTTTGCCCCTAGCCTAGTCGTGTTGCAAACTGTGTGACTGGACCTTGACCCTTTCTGTCTTTTCCTTCTTGCTCTTCGCCTCCTGTTTTATTACTTGTTTTTTCTGGTTTTTCGTCAGCTTCACTGTTGTCTATCAAGCATAAATGCTACTAATTATATTCAAGTGTGTGAAGCAGCCACTCTTCCTATGTTAACTTGTGAAGTTTATCGGAGAAATCGTCAAGTACGACGGTTAGCTGCATGTCCTGCTGACGCTGTTACTCTCAGTTCTGTTACTTTGGCCAAGATGACATTACCGGTGTGGTCAACGTCGTTGCTATACCCCCTGCCGATGTGTCCACTGCTAACTAACCCCATGACGGGGTTCACTCGTGGCACTCAGCTAGCGCCAGTTTCCACCGTCTGTCTCCGCTGATAAAATCGCCACGTTACTGCCCTTCACTCAGTTGTGTCGAATAGCCCGTTCCGCATCGAGAGTGCTGAAGAAGCTGATCGCAAATACCGGCCTAAACAGTGGCCGAGCCAATACTGAAATAAGCAGTGTCGTCCTGACAAGGCCGGTTACGGCCACAGTAACGTTATGCGGCTGCCGTCCGCACGACAATAATACTGCTGCTGCTCGTGCTGAAATCCTGCCTAATGTAGCCCAGATGATGACAATGATACGGAGGCGGACGGGCAGAGGTAGCTGCTTGCGAGACAGCTATTATCGGATAATACTGAGGATAGGCTGAGAATCAGATACTGCCAGAAAGGAACAGGTGATAAAGGCGAATTGCCACTTGCTGGAGTCGTCGTCGTCGTTGTCGTCGTCGTCGTCGTTTCACCTTGGTAGCATTTAGCGGAGGCTAGAAAACAAATGACGATGAGCACGCGTGAAGGACGTTCAAAGCGACGTATAGAGATGTAAGCACTGGAAGGATGCTAGAGCACTGAGAAGATGACAATTGCACTGAGTAGAGCGAAGTCTATTTTGTGGAAAAGCTTCCGGCAAATGAGCAGAGGCGTTGAAGCGCAGGGTCGAAGTTCGACTCCGCTGGTGGTGCTGCCAGGTGATCCAGTAGGAAAAAGGGATTGTTATCGAAGCTTTGCGAGTCATCAAACAGCAAGATCAGTTGCTGAGCGTAGTTCATTGCTGGTTATTAGTTTGCATACAAGGGCCAGTATGTGTTATAGTTATTTCGTGAGCTACGCAGTTGGATTATTAGCATTAGTCGGAGTTAGTCGGGCACGTATCCACGTTTGTTGTTTACACACTGAGCGCGGACTTCTCTATCGATTGAGAATGCTAAGTAAAGAATAGAAATTGTATATATTTGCATGGATCTGTTAACTCGTGGGGATCGCTGTGACGTCTGCGACTGCATTAACCTCAATAACCACTCGAGTTCGAGCTCGAAAGCCAACCACCAGCGGTTAGTCACCATCATCACTAGGGGCCTATCTATACCGTGACGGGTAAGCCAGCATCGGCAACACAATTTGGCCACAGCTGCAGTTCAAATAGCACCACTTTAATGCGAACGTTCTAATCAGATGGGCTGATCCGCGGCCATGCCAACGCACCGAGATCATCGGTGTCTGACTAGACCGTACGTTCAACTGCTTCTATCACCGGCCCCGATTCCAAACGCCTTTCGTCTACGAACTGGAGAGCAGACTGTTTACGATGGCAGACGTTGTTTTTTCATCCGCGATTAATTGAAACAGCGATAAATGAATCAACAAATGAAGACGATGTTGTCGTTTCTGTACAGTGGACCAAACAGGCTGAACAACACTACGACGAAACACTTATTGAAAGGCACAACACCTCCCGCCCCCCTCCCACCCCTTGCCCGTCCCTTAACCGTGCCACCGCACGAAGACCATTAGACTAGCTACAACAGGCAAACAGATGATCCACAGGTTCAATCGCGTTCATCACCATCCAACAACATAATACACTTACCCACAGTGGCAACAACTGTAGACTTGTTCGTCTTCGACTACAGCAAGACGCTTCCGGCTACAGAACGTTCCGGCTAAATGAATCTCCTTACCCCTCCTATTTAATTTGAATTTTTCGTTCCTTTTCACATACACACAAACACGTCAGTGATCTACCATTCGAAAATTTCCATATCGATATTAACACGATGAAGTTACTGTCCTACTCGTTCACAACGAAGGTCTCTTCTGCCGCCTGCCTTCTCGTGGCCAGGGGTGCGCGCTACAGCTGCTGTTTCTGTGTTGACGCCGCGTCTACCGCTGTCGACGGCTGCTACAGCGGTGGCGCGGGTTTCTAGAAATCGTTTTTCATAGCAACAGCTGTACAAGTTGCAGTTCTAGTCGCTGAATGGGTACTGGCAGCGGTATAAACAATAGAGAATGATAAGTCGTTCGGTTTACAACCCTCAATCGTCTTTTCTAATACCGACGACAATGACGACGTCGTCGTCGTCGACGACGACGACCAAGATAAACACGGAGAGACGATGATCGTATTCGCATCTGCTAAATACGCTGGCTGATTAACCGCTGTTTATTATTGCTAGCAATTGCAGTGAACGTCCGTTAGTCGAAGTGATAGTGTTCGTCGCTGTAGTAGCACAAGATTGGGGAACGTTAACCCCAGGTCACTGCATTGCACCGAATCGTCAGTAACAGTAACACGATGTTATTGCTATGTTGTGCACTCTTGGTATCATTATTATTCGCATTATTATTATTATTATTATTCGATTTGTTATTATTGTTACGACTATTGAGCGGGTGATGGTGGCAATGATTCTGCTACTGAGCTGCGATTTGTTTGATGCGCCAGCATCTGCTGCTGTGGTCTTTCTAGTTGTCGTTGCAGCTGTCGGTCACGTCCGTCGCGTCACGGCTGCTGCTGGGGTGTTAAAACTCGAACGATCTTCCACTGGCCTGCTTCTTCCTGCTGTCATTCGTAAATAAAGCTAAGAATCCAAGGTAGTCGCGATAACCGTTTTGGCCTCGTTGCTAGTTGTTGTTATTGTTGTTGTTGTTATTATTATCGGTGTTGTTGGTATCGTTGTTGTTGCTGCTGCTGCTGCTGCTGTTGACATCGCTGGAAACGGCCGCGAATAGCTGACGACGAAAGGCGGCCGTGGCAAAAATCGAATTCGTAGCAGCCGCCATCAACCACTTCGCCATCGTCGCAGACGCAGATGATATTGTTACAGGGCTAGCAGCAACGGAGAACGGGCGACGGGCAGACGCCGATGACGCCAGCGACGCGCGGGAAAGGGAACGCCCAGCGCGACCATCAGTAGAGAAGCGGCGGCGGTAACGGTGGCGCCAGAGGCAGCGGCGGAGACGAGATGGAAGCCAACAATAACAAGTTCATTAAAGAATCGACATTTAATACACAAGCTGGCTGATAAAGAAAGCGATCGATGGATCAGTCAGATATGTCGAGACCGTCGTTCATTGTTGCTTGAGTTTGTTCTCCAAACGTATGTCTATTCGACCGTGTATTTGTCCGTCGAACGCTGTCCGCGTGCTGAAAGCCACCAATCTAACACAACAGAACGTAGCTAATAATTACCAACCGCTTGGAGCTAATAACGAAAGAGGGAGTGACTGTTCCCCTCGAAACACGGTCCTGTCTCGCTTTTCCTAATTCTCTTTTTTCCATTAGCGTTATTGCCGCTTGAGCAGCTTCTTCGAGACCGAACTGTCGTACACGCCCACGAACGGCTGCCACTGTTATATTTCTGCTAGATTTATACCCGTATCGACGAGCAAAGCTGAGTAGTCCGCATATTCACGTATGTCAACTATTTCTAGCGATCGTTTCCACAGTGGAAACTTTGAATATATGAATGAATAGTGGGATGAACGAAAAAGAACCGAAATTAGCCGAAGTTGTGGTCGATGTTATTTGTACGTATAGTGGCTCAAGCCTACAGCATCTCAGGCCTCACAGTCACCTTGATGCTGTAGCTAGGCCGCGGATGCCGCTGGGACTACGCCAGCATTCATGTTCGCATTAACAGCTGACGCTCGCTGCTGCTTTGAGTCGTTAGCTTGCCCTCCCATTCAGTGACTCTTGCTTTGCTCGTCTTAGAATGAGGTGTATTTTTTGCGCCAGAAAGACAAAAGCTAGAGAAAACCACAGCCACTGGTCTACCCGTTGAAATATGGCAGGAAAATGACGAAGAGTTGATTTTGCTTGCGGTTGGATGGTTGTCCAGTCGATTATCCCTTTGTTTTGACGGCTTTTCGGCCACGGATAACAACTTCCTTTCGTAGCATGCCGCAGCATTAACGGTCAGTAAGAGTCACAGATTTTTAACAGGGAGAGACTTATTTATCTCATTTTCGATCTTATTCGACGTTGTTCTACTGACGAACCGGCCAACGAAGTACCATACTTTATTTGCACAGAAGTGGACACAGAAGGTCGGTAGAATACTAAGGCAAAGACTATGGACAACTAGGTCAATTATGTCCTTCAGTAGCACCGCACTAACTAACGTATTTTTATTTTCGATACTTGGATTTAGTGATCTGATCCAGCGTAGTTCAGTTTCATTCAATTCGCGCAACACCAACAACAGCAACATCAATCTGCTCTTGACTGTACAGTGTCTTTTTGCTGTGGGGGCAAATGAGACTTTCGTTAGCGTCTGCGCGTCCCGCTGACGACGTATATTCCTACTGATTTGAACGTTGACAGGCTTCTGCGGCTTTCGATCACTGTTTATCGTCCATTTTACCCAATAGGCTATTGACTCCACTGTTTCAGTTACGGCTAGCTATGATTATACCCGATAAGCTGTTCCGCGCAGAAGGATGTTGACTTCACCCTCGTTTCGGTGACGGAGTAGCAGCTGACGACCAGCTGAGCGTGCGCTGTTCGCCAACGGCCGATGGAGTGTCCACAGCAAACAGGCCACTGACCCCGCCGTCACTGCCCTGTTATTTGTTATGGCTCTCAGAGCTGTTGGAGGCTGCAGGACAGAGAACAAAGCAGGCGCCTTACTACGACAGTCCCTGTGGTTTGTTGAGACCTGTTCTAACAACCGTGCGCCTGCCCTGCTCAGCAGCTGCTTTGACTGGCGAACTTGCTCGTTTGGTCGCGCAGACTTTTGGCGGTTAGTTAATTATTCTTATTCGAGATGAGTGAACCATACACCATACAAACGGAGCAGTCAGTTGGGGCGAGTACAATAGAATATTTTCATGAACAAACAGTTCACTTTTACACAGACGGACAGAACAGTCGACAAATGCGTCGAGAAACATGAGGCAAGACGACCTGCCACGCACGGGCCTTACGTTTTTGCAGCTATTACAGCTGTGGAGTATACTTTCGTGTCGGGGAGTGGCCTTTCTTTTAATACCAGCGATTTCAGTTTGGAGTTGTTGGAAATAATTGACAGGTGAGCTGCTTTTTTCTGCGCATCGTTATCCCACTTAGCCGTAAATTTGTCTGAGTAATCTTTAGCAGGAGGAGGCACTGTGATTACGGGTGTTATGGCGGCACGGTAGTTCTTAGTGACAGATAAATACGATCGATTGAAATCCGAGTTATCTAACGAGGAAAGAGGACTGTCCTTCCGCTTTGTTTTAGGATAACTTTCGTAACTGTTCTTGAGAAGATGTGAAGGATTAAAATCACTAAATTTGCCCTCACCGTAACACAGCAGCACTTGTCGACCCCGCGCGATCGAAGGCAAATACAAAACAAACAACATCAACAATAATAAGAATCAACGAATACTGCAGAAGGTATGCACCAAAATGACAGAAAACGATTACAGGAATAATGCTATTGTTTCTGCTTTCATTCCTTAATTTTCCGCTTCTCCTACAATAGAAACCAACAACATTTATCTTTTGCCACTGTGATATTAGAACTCTTTATGAAAAAAAAGCTGTACCAAAATGCACTACAACACAGTATAGTATTATTACAAAAGAAAGGGTCCGTATATCAGAGTTAACCGATACAAACAATTGCGCATACAGTCCTACGAATTGGTGTTGCCGTTAGCGGCTTAGCAGCAGCTGTAGATCGCCAATTTTTGCGATCAGGTCGGATGCTGCTGCTGCTGTCACTCTTCCCGATGCTAAAAGCTGCGCTTGTTGCAGCAGCGCCTAACGACTAGTCGTTAGACGGCAGTGAACGGCGGAGCACTGTGGGCCGCCATCTTGACTACTCGCGCAGTCTCCCAGAGTCTCTTTCCATTTCCCGCCGTTTCTTTCGCTTGCTGTCTCTCTCTATCTGTTTCTCCTTGTCGTCTGCTAGCGCTGATCTGTGCCACCATGTGGCTGACACAGTAACCGAGGTGCGCAGATGGGTTTAACGCGGCAGTGGCGCCGTTACCAAGCAGTTCCCCCAACAAGCATCGTTTAGTAGAGAGGGCAAAAAGACCCTCCGTGCTGACTGACGTTATCGGCGCAGACTTATTTGACTATACTTTTCTTTTACAAAGTGAGCGCGTACAACTCTGTTGAATCTAGCAAGGAAGGTGGGTAGATGCCAACTATGCCCTAGGCAGCAGCAAGCACGATGAACTTTCGAAGGCAATGCTGGTTTGCGAGGTTTCAGTAAATTCGGCTCAGTAATGGATCGACGCTTACTCGAGCAGGTGTGAATGAAGCTAAGGGTCTAGGGGCATTTCGGATGTATTTGAATGGTTTCAGCTGGCTGACAGGTTGTCACAGCATAAACCACAGCGCACTAATCGAAGTAGGGAGGACAGCGAAAATGGAAAACGAAAAAAATTAGAGTGGGGCATTGGTCTCAATAATGGCAGAAGGCGGCGGCGGCGGCCCAGAGAGAGAAATATACTGTCACCTGCTTGCTATCTTTAAATAGTCTGTATGATACTAAGTACTAATATACAAAATGGAGCAAAAATATACACGCAGGAAGTCCGTCCTCTTTGGATAAAAGGTTTACTTTTTTTACCTCTAAACTTACACATTCGCATACGTTAAGCGTCTGTACACGCGAATATATAT